GCGGCCATAGTCAAATGTTTTCCTGGGGCCAGAGCGGGCGACATTGAATCCTATTTGAAGCTGCTGACTAAGGATAAGCGTAAATACAGTAAGGTTGTTATTCACGTCAGCGCTAATGACTCCCGACTTCGCCAGTCGGAGGTCACTAAAATTAATGTTGAGTCAGTGGCTAAAACAATGTCGGACTCCGTAGTTTTCTCTGGACCCCTGCCCAATGTGACCAGTGATGACATGTTTAGCCTTATGTCGTCATTCAACCACTAGTTGTCTAGGTGGTGCCCAGAAAATAACGTGGGCTTCATAGATAACTGGAAAACATTTTGGGGAAAACCTGGTCTGATTAGTAGAGATAGCATCCATCCCACTTTGGGTGGTGCGGCTCTCTTATCTAGAAATCTGGACGAGTTTATTTTACAACCTGAATTATGACAACCCAGAGTCGAGTCCAGGACGCAGGGTCGCAGTCTTGCATGCCTCTCTGCTGTCTCTTTGCAGCTGCTACCCACCCAACACTCCCAATACCCCACCCACTGTTTTAATCACACTCTTGATCTTGTTCTGACATATGGCATCGAAACTGAACACTTAATAGTTTTCCCCCAAAACCCTCTTCTGTCTGATCATTTTCTAATAATGGCAGACGTGAAGGTCGCACGCGCATCTGGAGCTCCTGTGTTTGCCAAGGTTCGATTAAAACCTGAGGTGTATACAACAATTGACGGTAAAGTTATAGTAGAGGATGAATTTTTGCATTTCCTCTCTGTTAAACAAAGGACCTTAAGTCAGGATGAGATTGTCCTGTTGGCAGTCAACACCTTTGACACTGTGAATTGAGACTTCGAAGAAAACGCTTTTCGAAGTCTGTCACTACCCGGCGTTTGAATGAGTGTGGGGAGGACACCCCCAGATTTGTGTCTAGATGAACTGCCACCTGTGACTTTTACTAATATGGATGTGTGTGGCTTGCTCCATAAAATGGAGTATCTTCAGGCTGAAATCACAGCTATGAAGCAAGTGGCTCACCTGCAAGCTGAAGCTAGCAACGGTCTGTTGCAGCAGATACGATCAAGTGGATCAGTGCGTTGGAATTGCGTGCTGTCCATGTCTGTGTGTTGTCGGTCCCAATGGAGGCCAACCACATTATCCCTTTGGCAGGTGAGCAGTCGGAGGTGGTGGGTGGCCCCAAAGAGTCTGAGGGTCAGGTGCCGCCTGCGGGGGATAGGGCTACTCCACTGGAACGCTCTGGAGAAGCAATGCCGCCCGGTTCCCCTATGTGGAGCTTGGTGGCTAAAAGGAGTCAAAGCCAGTTAAAGAAGCCAGCTGGTGTTAGGCCTGCGCCACGTGTAGGTATATCCTTAGCCAGTCAGAGGAAAGCGGGCAAATCTGTTGTGAGTACCAGAGCAGCTGGAACTATCAAGACGGTTAAGACTAAGCTGGTCAGTGTCTTCACAACAAAATTCTCACCAGATTTGGAAGCTGAA